AGCCCTTTGGGTCATTATCTTCTGACTCCCTGGCCCCAGCCCTGCACCTGCTTGTCCTGGTGTCTCTGCTGCCCTGGATTTACAGGCTCACTGGGGCAGAGAGTCACTGCGCTTCACAGGGGAGGGGAGAGGGCTGTGTGCAGACCCGCCTTCTCCAAGTCTTCCTCTCATTGAGCTCCACCTCACCCTCTTGGCAAAGTGTCTGACCCTTGGGGACTGTGGGATGAGTCACTTTGTTCCCAGCTCTCCCCAGCCTTCAGCTTTTGGGAGATGGCAGATCAAGTTCTCGTTCTATAAGCGCTGTATTCTCCAAAATACACTCACCCTGTCTCTTCTATCTCTCTCGGGTTGGGGGGGGGGGGAGGGAGGTTGTGCCTTTAAAATGATTCCTTTGTGATTTTGCTGAAGTTCGAAGAGAGATAGAGGCAGAAGGCCCGTTCTTGACTCTGCTTTCCTCTGGCAGAAATCGTACTGGTGGTGGTGTCCAAGATCGGGACCATATCAATCCATTAACGTGTTTTTAAGAAAAGCCCTTTTGGGGGTTTGACGACCTTGCCTGTACACCTATTTTGAAGTGAAGTGGCCTTTGAAAGGGAGGAATGCGTCCATCTGTGTCTGTTGCATAATGCGTATGTCCAGAAGTCGCCACCGGAAACGCAGGATGTCACCCCCTCCCCTCCCTGCCTCCTCAAACGCTCCAGGGGACGGAGGGGCTCCTAGTGACCTGTGCCAGCCATGTCATCCTGTAGCTTAAAATAACAGAACATTTGATTTCAGCTCTTTCTCAAGAGGAACCGTGTCCCCCACCCTTCATACACTTCCTGTTTTAATTTTCTGATAGAGATGTTTTCAAAAATGGTAACTGTGTTCTCACCAGGCGTGGATTTTATTAAGCACTTTTTCGTTCGTTTTGCAAAGTACGCTTTGGAATGAGATTCTCTTTCATGGGGATGGGAGTGGGGTTGGAGGTGGTGGCACTTAGACGGCTGAGCAGTTTTCCACACTGTCATCATGATAACATAATGATAACATCTAGTTGACAGCTTTGAACTGTGCACCTGCCAGGTGCTAGGCGGTGTGGGACCGGTACAGTACAGTCATTCCTGTGCTCCTGTCCGCATGGAGTTTACACTCTGGCAGATCCTGTTACTAGTCAGTAACAGGTTCCACTTGGGAATGCTTACAATGCAGTGGCATTTTACCTTACTACCGGGGGCTTGAGATGATTTTAACTGCCTCCTTGTACAAATGAGGAACCAGGGGCGTAGGAAGGTGTGTGCATTGCTGGAATGTGAAGTTGGGTCTATTGTGACTAAAGCCCATATTCTTGTATTTGTATAGTTTTAAGAAAAAAGCCAAGAAAGCAATTTAATGTGTATTGTTTTCTCTAACTTTCCATTACCCAACCTGATGATGCTGCCATTTATGATAAACTTCAAGGTATTTCTTCTCACTTCTGGATCGTTGATGAAAAAAAACACTAACAGCTTTTACGTTGTAAGTGTGCCCTACTGTGCTAGAACCTTAGTAGACGGTGGGTGGCTGGATAGGCTTTTTTTTTTTTTTGGTCTTGAACATATATTTAGGGACTAAACTTACTTATAGAACACAAATTTTAGTTTCATGATAGTAGAGAAGCATAGCTACTTAAAGAACCCCATACTGAGTAATTTGTAAGCAAACATAGTTTGCAATGCAAATGACTGTATTATTTTTGCATTGACACTGTTTCTCTCAGTTTCCCTTTGTGTAAAATCATTAGCTAGTGGTAGTTCAGGACAAACTGAGCAACATGTTGTTGCTTTTCTGTGGCTTTTACACTGTCTTAAATATTTGCAGGTACACTGGATTATCATAGTGCAGGCTACAAAAAAAGAACATGTTAAATAGACAAGTAATGTTTTCAAAAAGAAACATGTGGGCACAAGTTAAGGGGCAGTAACAAGCAGCTCAAGGTTGAAATGAGAGAAACCTAAAGAAAGATTGAAATTTGTCTTTTAAGTTAGTAAGCTGCTCTTTGAAGTGAAGGAGTGTGCAAATCACGGGGTACTCACCCACTCCTTGCCATGATTGGCAGTATCAATTCTGAGTTTGTAATGAGAGATTACTTAAACTGTTGATTTATTTGCTTTTATTTGAAAGATAGAAAGGCAGGCCTACACATGCCTACCATCTGCTGGTTGACCCCCCAGTGCCCACAGCAGCAGGGGTGGCCAGACCGAAGTTGGAGCTCTGTGTGGCTCTGTCTTGAGAGCCTGATCATCAGCTCTTGATTTCTGCCATGCGCAACGGCAGGAGGCTGGCGTTCAAAGTGGAGCTGATGCTTGCACCCAGGCCCTTGATGCGGGCTTTAGTGGTTCTCCCAAGGATCTTAACTGCTGGGCCCAGTGCTGAAAGTCTTTATTATTGTTTTCCTTTTTCTTAAGATTTTAAATTTTCTTTGTTTGAAAGGCATAGATGTGGGGAGGGGCAGAACAGACAGAGAGATGGAGATAGCTGTCTTCTACCTGCTGATTCATTGCCCAGTATCTGTAATGGCTGTAGCTGAGTCAGGATCAAGCCAGAAGCCATGCGCTTCATCCTCATAGGGGCAGAGTTCCAAGCTCTTGCGTTGTCTTCTGCTGCTTCTCCGGGCACATTAACAGGGACTTGGATTGAAAGTGGAGCTACAGGGCCCTGCGTGGTGGCCTAGCAGCTGAATTCCTCACCTTGAACATGCCAGGATCCCATATGGATGCTTATTCTAATCCCAGCAGCCCGGCTCCCATCCAGCTTCCTGCTTGTGGCCTGGGGAGGCAGTAGAGGATGGCCCAGAGCCTTGGGATCCTGCACCCATGTGGGAGATCCGGAAGAGCTCCTGGGTCCTTGCTTTGGATTGACGCAGCTCTGGCCATTGCGATCATTTGGGGAGTGAATGATAGAACGAAAGATCTGTATCTATATCTGACTTTGCAATAAAAACAGATAAATTGTAAAAAGAAAATGGAGCTACAGGACTCAAACCAATGCTCACGTGGGATGCCTGCACTGCAGGCAATGGTTTCACCCACTGTGCCATAACATTGGCGCCAAGAGATTGTTTGTGATATATATAAAGCTATATAGCTGCTTTCCTGTGAATACCTAAATAATGATGTTCATAGCCTCTTAATTTACATTTGAAGAAATCAGAGGTGGTGGCATGCTCGTTGTTAGCATACTCCTGTTGTCTGGATCCACCGACCTTACTCAGCTGCTGCATACTCAGGCTACACATCTCTGGACACGTGCATCGCCCTGTGCCGAACGCTGGTGCAGCCTAGGCATTCGCAAGCTGATTGGCGTGTACAGGAGGCGAGAGAGGAGGGTGGTGACCGCAGAGGGACTTAAGAGTGCCGAATCACCGTAAAGAACTTCATGATGTACGCCGGGGAACATTGGGATACTTCTTATTCCCATTCAGCACACATAGTCATTACCTGTGTCTTCAAGAGATAAAAATATCTTCAGAGAGATTTTGCCTTTTCAGGGCGACTTTGACTTTCGCCTTAACTAGATGTCAATTTTGAAAAAAATGTGAGTGAAGGATAGGAGAGCAAAGGTATTGTGTGGTGTAATTTTCTTTGGAGTCTCACTGTCTCCTAGATTCTTCTCTTATCAAAGCTAAGAAAATTGATCAAGCAGATAATTACTGAACAGTTGGTCAATTTGGAATGTAAATGCAAATGTAATATTTTTGTGTGTGAAAGTCTCCTAAGTGAAGCATTAAAGAACTTGGAGGTGAACTAACGTAGAGTACCGTGTTCACCGAATTTCTGTGAATCATCATTTCGAGGCTTGGAGATACTGATGCTTGGAAACGCAAAGTGAGTGGTTTGAAGTAGACCACGAGAATGACACCTGCTGAAAATAGAACCGCTGGGATATGGGGGCCTCTTAACAAAATGTCACTGTGTCATTTTGATCAGTTATTCTTTTTAGGCCATGTTATGGTGAAAAATGTTATGAGTTCTATATTCCTTATTATATGAGAGAAATATGAAGGAAATAAGTTAAATCCATGAGCAGTTTCTGTGTTTGAATCATAAGGGGCGTATCATGGGAAATAGTGGAGGTTCAGCCCCATGTTCTGTACCTGTTATTCTGTCCCATCTTTCTGGGCAAAAATTATGAGCAAAGAAACTGAAGATCTAAGTCCTCTTGTCTCACAACTAAGCAGGAACTGGAGATGCCAGCTGCTGTGTCTTAGGATGCAGTAGCAGGGAGCTGGATTGGAGGCAGAATGACCGTGACTTGAGTTGGCACTGTAATAAGGATTATGGGCATCACAAGAAGCCACACAATGGCAGAGCTTTTAGGTCATCCTTTTTTCATAAAATGCAAGTATGTTACTATTTTCCTCAGATAATTTCGCTTGCTATTGGAGTTCCATTGTACTTGGAATAAAATGCAAGATCTCTCCGTAGAGATCTGACTCCGTACCTATCAAGGACATCAGCTTGTACTTCCTGTCACCAAGCCAAACCTTTCTGTGTTCCCACTTACCGTTGAGTTTTTATCAACCTGGCTTACGGTGACAGGTGGCATTGGACTTGATTGCTTCCTGTCCAAGTTCAAACTGCAGTTGTGGACAACTCAAGTTGGTGGCTTAACCGCTACAACATCCACCCTGTGATTAAATGCGTGGGGTGGTGAAGTTTCTGCCTGTGGCACCCGCGCTGTCGTCCCGTATGGGCCCCAGCTTGAATCCTGAATGCTCCACTTACAGTCCAGCTCTCTGCTTCTTCCTCCTCCTGACACAGTCATCATGGAGATCCTCAGAAAAGGAAGTGGCCTTTCCTGATCACTGCCTATCACATCCACTCTTCTGTTTTGTTTTCGTCTGTTCTTTTCTGCCATAAATTCTGGGTTAGACCCTGTTAATTGCTAAGAATGCAGTAGAGAATTAAATATCCTTTCTTTGGGATGACAGCACTTTTCTTAATCCTTTACTGATGGCGTCCTTTGCTGTTTCCTTGCAGTACTTTGGAAGTTTGCTTGTCATTTTCTGTGTGGAGCTTGCTTGTGGCGTTTGGACATATGAGCAGGAACTTATGGTGAGTTCAGAATGACTTACAACCATAATCCAGAACAGTAACCAGTTCAGCCTTTTAAAATCGTACACTGTCATGGACCTTGGCATGTAATTATTAATTTTGACATTTATGCTACATGATGAAGATGAATGGGCCCAATAATTCTGAAAAAGTTACATTTTCTTTTGGGTGTCTATAGCATGCATTGAAATCATATTTTAAAATATTGAGTTTAGTGTATTATGATGTGTCTTTAATTCCATGGGTGTAATAGCTTGAAGATAGTATAGGTTCTGAAGTAATGATACCAGTTGAGTTAGCAATTGAAAAGACTTTCATTGGGAGAATCATTTATTTGATCGTGCTTATCCCTCTGCATAAAGCCCTGCTCACTAAAAAGTCTACCCCAGCCGGGAGCCCATGTGTATCTGCTGATTGCAGCAAGCTGAACTAGCTTGCACTATAAGAAGTCACAGTGGCTCAGTGGCTAAATCCTTACTTTACAAGCAGCAGGATCCCTTACAGGCACTGGTTTGTGTCCCAGCTGCTCCACTTCCCATCCAGCTCCTTGCTTATGGCCTGGGAAGGAGTTGAGGATGGCTCAAAGCCTTGGATCCTGCTCCTGCATAGGAGATCCAGAAAAAGCTCCTGGCTCTTGGCTTTGGATCGGCTCAGCTCTGGCCATTGTAGCCATTTAGGGTGTGAGTCGGGGGGCGGGGGCGGGGGGGGGGTAAAAGACCTCCCTTTCTCTCTCCCTCTCTGTGTCTCTCCGCTCTATAAATCTGATCTGTCTTTCCAATAAAATAAATTTAAACATCTTTTAAAAATGTGTTTGAAATGTCACTGTGTTTACCACAGTCTAGGAATATTCTCGCAGTTTAGGACTTGACTCCTTGGAAAGAGATCCTTCGCACTTTTCTTGTATCTCAAGCAACTGAAACCGCTGGAGCAACTTTCACAGTCGTGATTGGATGAGTGAGGCTGAGACTTTCTCTGTCTTAGATTTTACCATTGCTGATTTTCAGCTGGCATTTCACTCTTGTTCAAGTTGGGTCTCACTCCTTATTTAATGTTTGCCCACTTCTTGGGTACACACTTCTGAACTTCTGACCAGTGAGGCTGAGTGGTGTTGCATGCCTGTGGAGGCAGGCCAGGTTGTTCCACCATTGTCCCCGAGGAGTCACTCCACCTCAGTAGTACTGCCTGGGTGTTTTTCAACATGTTCTCCTTGATCCATCTCCAGCAGGACATGTCCGGGGAGCTTCACCAGAAAGTGCACAATGGAGAGACAGGCAGGGCAGGAAGGCAATTGTCAGTTACAGATTCCCCAGCAAGTCTTAAGCATTTTCAGAGTCAAGGCTGCCTAAGATGGGATGATCATTTGTTTCAGAGAGCAGAGGGGCGTTGGGCAGTTGTGTAGTCAAATGAAGTTGTCTCTGGTACCAACGCGGCCTTGAAGATTCTGTGCAGATCTGCTACTGTACTGCGGGGCTGTTTTGAATACTAAGTGGAAACCACACAGGGGTAGGCTCTGCTCATGCCCCGATTTACATGCAAATGGTGCTGTGCTTGTGTCATATTCCCAGTGTCTGAGGACTCTCAGAAAGACAGGAGAGCTTATGAGACACTGCACAAGGCAGGTTCTCGCTGATTTCAGAGGAAGCTGCGTGCTTTCTCCCCAAGCCTCCGCGGATGTAGGAATTTACTGTCCTTGCGAATCAGGGTTTTGTGTTGCCCCTAGAAACTTTGTATATTTACAGGAGAAAAAAGCATTTAGTTCCAGGGATTTGGATTCTGTGTTTGATGGGTAAAGAGATTGTGAATTTTTTTTTTCTGTTGCATTTATCTTCTTGCCATTTAAGCTATAAAGTCAGTGAGTCTTATAATTATCTCTTGATGTCTTTCTTCCCCTTTTGACTGTATTCTTTTTGGCAGAGGTTTTCAGAAATGAGTTTATTGCCTGTGGATTTTAAAATGGATTACATAATCTATGTTGGCCAGTAATATTTAATAAATTTCCTGAGTTATAACAAATTCAGCATGAATTAAAGTGTTTGAAAGGGAGTGTTTTGATTCTACTATAATTCTAAGAACCCTGAGGAGACGGGAGCCATGCCCTTGTGTAGATGCATTCTTGTGTCATGTGCAGGGACTGTCTACGCAGCTTCAGATCTTGGGGTGCTCTGTGTGTGCCCAGCACCACTCCAGTCCAGGGCATAGAGCATCATTGCACCTGTGTAACTCTCATTTCATCAGCGACAGAGCAAGGACTGTTTACATCCGAAATGTGGTTAGGTGTTTTTTTTGTTTTTTTTTTATGCTTGTCACAATTTATTGCTTCTGCACTTGTAACAGTGTGAATGAGAAGTGCCATTAAAGTTTATTATCTGCCAAACTTTGCCGAGCCCTGCCTTGACACAGAGTGGGCTTTGTGTTCTGAGCCGTTCCTTGCAAGGAACCAATCAACGTGTGTGTTAGGTTCTGGCCAGATTCCAGCACTTGGTGCCAGACTCACAGGTCTCCTGTGTTTGCTGGCCACATTCAGTTTCAGACTGATTGTGGTTGCCATGAAAACACCCTCTGTATTTATTTTGGAAGGTCGCATTTAAACAACCAATTGTTACATTGACTAAGTAGGAGTGCTGCCGGGCTCCTGTCTTCCTGGATGGTTACCTTCCTGAGAAATCTCTCAGTAGCGTTGTTTCCCATGATACATAGCTCAGGAATTTGTTTTACTTCCATTTACTTTATATAGGGAACAGTAATAATTCAGAGTAAGTGTCTTGAACTTTGCTTAGTTCTTTGGCCTGGTTAAAGCCATAGGAACACGCGGCGTTCCCAGTCACTCTACCACGTGGAATGTGTGCTAGCTGTGTGCGTGTTTTCCTTGCCAATGCATAGAAAAATAACAAGTGCTCGGAAAAAAATGGAGGGATTATTATTTTAATCATTTCCCACAGTCTAGAAGTTTAAAATACGAAACTTCGGTCCATATTACTGTTTTAAAATGTATCCCTCTGCTTTTACTCATCTTAAGCCTTCCTCTGGTTTCTTCATCTTTAGGTCATTTATTGAATGTCAGGCCTGGTAACTGGTGCTTGATGTAGGCCAGGAACAAGTTTAAGTTTAAAGCAGTGTTTACCAGTTGTACTGCGGGGTCTGTGGCTGCTTGTGCGTATTGACACGAGAGCAGGTTGTGCCTGTGTGTGTTTTTGTGTAGTGATGTTTTGCCTTTTATCTGCAGGTTCCAGTGCAGTGGTCAGACATGGTCACTCTGAAAGCCAGGATGACGAATTACGGCCTGCCTAGGTACCGCTGGCTCACTCATGCGTGGAATTTTTTTCAGAGGGAGGTGAGTGCCACAGAATCCGGGGTACAGTGTGGAGCCCTTGATACACTCTGGACACACACGTTCAGAGCTTTGGTTTCGGTCTTTGTGTGCGTGTGTGTGTGCTGAAAAATTGAGCCTAAAATTCATTTGCTGCTGCTGTAAATTGTTTCTGTGTAGAAACACACTCAGTAGCCCCGTGCCCCGTTTCTGCCCTGTGGAGAGCAGTTCCTCTTCATGTTGCAGGGGTGGTCGCTGTGCCTCAGTGGCTTAAGTTGCCTCTGGCACTGGGGGCATGCTCTGTAACTGTGATTCCAGCTCCTCTGCTTCCAGTCCAGCTTCCTGTCAAGGCATCCTGGGTGCCAGCTGGAGCCTGGTGAGCTGTTTGATCATTCAAGGGCTTTGCTTATGCGTAAATGATTCATTTGGCAGATGTGACACAGGAGTGGTGCTGGCTCACCATGCCGTATTAACTTAGGCAGCCAAATGGCAGTGAGACGTCACCACCGCCACATGTTGACGTAATAGCGGGCTTACCAGGGAGTTTGCAGGAAAAGTTTCATCGCAAATTCAACATTAAAGAAGTAAGAATTATATCAAAAGACAAAGCTGATTAAGTTACTTAGAGGAACTTTGACACTGAATGTGATGTGCCTGAATGGTGTGGAAGGGCCACCTCATTTGCTGACACGGCTGGCTGGATGGTTTTGCTCCACAGCGGGTCAGATGGAATACTCCAAGAACTGTCGTTAGCACAGAGAGGAGGTGTTTCCCTTGGAAATGAGGGAAGTGGGTTTTCTGTAAGTGTCAGGGTCTAAAAAGAATGACTTGGAAATGCAGTAAGGTGTTTTGTTTAGCCCTTGACTGGGATTGTTAAAGCTACTCAGTGAAACAGTGAAACATAAAAAACCTAGCAAACCATGTTAGAGTTAATCGCTGATGTTTTGGTAAACTGATGGCCTTTGCTTTGATTTGTGATGTTCATGGTACACACATAGTTTTAAAAACAAATTTACAAAAGAAAAGACTGAAATGTGAAATAAAGTCTTTCAAACTTTTGGTTTCGAACCTTTCAGCAATATATGATTAACAATACCCTTAAGATGACTTCACTTTTTTTTTTAAATCTATGTTTAGACATGTGTGGAAAATGCAAATTTAATTTTAGTACTTTTTTCTAGTTTCCTTTTGCCCTGGGAATTCAAGACTTCCTCAATGTTGATTTAAGTTCAATGTTGAAGTCGTGATGGATTGTCATATTTTAACATATGGACTAATCTTGGGCATGCACTGGCCTGTGGGGCATAGCCAGTAGCCAGTGGCTAAGTTGTCCTTGACTGCTCTGTTCCTTAACATTGAAAGGAGGACTCGTAGTCTTCATAGTTAATTGTTTTTAGGATTTATTTATTTTTATTGGAAAGTCAGATATACAGAGAGGAAGAGAGACAGAGAGGAAGATCTTCCATCTGATGCTTCACTCCCCAGGTGGCCATAACGGTTGGAAGTGAGCTGACCTGAACAAAGCCAGGAGCCAGGAGTTTCTTTGGGATCTCCCACATGGGTGCAGGATCCCAAGTCTTTGGGACATCCTCTACTGCTTTCCCAGGCCACAAGCAGGGAGCTGGATTAGAACCAATGCCCTTGTGGGATCCTGGAACATGCAAGGCGAGGACTTTAGCTGCTAGGCTGCTGCACTGGGCCTTGCTTGTTTTGGATCTAATCTGCATTTGTCCTGAAGCAGTGCTTCTAAAGCTGTCAGAGGAAGCTGTGGCACATCGTAGGAGAAATGAGAGCAATGCGGTATAAGCAGTGCAGTGTGGCCTTTCCGAAATGTTACTCTTCACATCATTCCTGCTGATACCGTGGTGACAAAATACAGTGGATCAAGAACTGCACTCGGCTGGTGTAAAGTTAGTTGCTGACCCTGTGTGCGTCTGTGCAAGTTTTTGCAAATTCTGATCACTAGTGAATCCAGGTGACCTTTGTGATGTGGGCTTGGCCAGTCAATTGTTCTAAAGAGATTGTTACGGAAACTCATAATTCAGTTTGTTGAGCGAACAGCAACTAGGCACCCTGTCAATCTGATTAGTGAATTAGTCTTTGTGGTTAGAGAGGAGTTCTGCTAGCTGATTGGTTGGTGTGTCTGTGAGTCTTATTGCACGATCCCCCACGCAGGCGGTATGTGAGCCTGTCGTCCCTTGTCTGATTGTAGGTGCTGTGAACATGGCGGTTTAGACTGGTTGAGTTAGGGGGCAGTTCCGCACGCGGCGCCTTTGGTGCATCCGTCTGCTCAGCGTGGCCTCCGATCTCCATCACTGTGCGGTGGCAGAGGGGAGCGGAGCTCTGGGGAACAGGCAGTGAGGAGTCCTCCATGGCGTCTGAGTGTCGCTTCCCTTGCAGTTCAAGTGCTGTGGGGTGGTGTACTTCACGGACTGGCTGGAGATGACGGACATGGACTGGCCGCCGGACTCCTGCTGCGTGAAGGAGTTCCCGGGGTGCTCCAAGCAAGCCCACCAGCAAGACCTCAGCGACCTCTATCAGGAGGTAAGAGCCTCCCTGGTGACCTTCCAGGGAGAAAGGACTTCCTAGAATAACTCGGAAGAATTACCAACAGACGGATGACTTTTATTTTTTTTTTCTGTCCTTAAAAAAAGTCTCAGAGTTTGTACTTAATCTGTTTGGAGAAACACAGTAAAAAATTCAGTTTCAGAATCTGCATGCAGGTCACATTTTAACAAAGGTAAGTGGCAAAGGCCAGGTTTTCTCATTTTAAATTTGAACTGTTTTGCTTACACCCAAATTCTGTTGCTATCTCCTGGGAGATCCTTGGGAAACAAACATGTAAATTATGTGGTTAAACCTGCATAGCTAAGAGGCTCAGAATGTAGAATTCTGGGTAAAATGTTTATTTTTGGGCCCTCACCACTTAGCCCAAGTCTGAGCAAATCCCTCAGTTGCCTTAGAAAATGCTCGGGATTGCTCTTCTCTGCCCCCTGCTGGCTAACGCTAAGTCATGCCAGGGGTTGATGTAAAATCATTGGCGTTAAAATCACTTGTCATATGCCCAGAAAACTTGCATGTTTTTCTGTTTGTTTTGCTTTCTGATAGAATTTATCAGGACCACAATTTAGTGCTTTTAGTGGAAATAACCCTGTTTATTAAACCTTTGTGGTGATTTTCACATTTTGATAGCAGTGGAATCTTTTCCAAATTACAGTTTAGAACTATACTACCCAATATCACGATTACACTTGGCTAATTAATTAATTCAATTAACACATCACTTCCTCAGTTGAATAGCCACATTTGAAGTGTTCAGCAGACACTTGTACTATTGTATTTGTGCAAATTGATTACCTAAATGACTTTACAACTTTTTTAAATTTGTTTTCACCCAGAAACTTGGATAGCAAGCTGGCAGGCAGTCAGGTCTGAGGTGTTCCTTGGACACAGGTTTCCTGCTGAAATGAGGTTCGTGGCAACAGAGTCGCCTGCCTTTGACAGATGTTAATGTTTGTAGTGACTTAATGCATTGTTTCAGGCATAGTGGGTTTGCAGAAGTTGATCGGTTAGTAGTAGCTTTACGGCACAAGGACTAGTAAACGTGTAATGTAGAAGAAGACTTCAGTTCCGGTATGTTGTAGAGAACACGTGCTTGATCATTGTGCCTTTCCTGGAAACCTTTGTATAGGAAGAGAGAGTTAGAAAAGGAAACGCGTGAACGGCAGATATGTGGGATGTTTGTTCTGAAGTTGAAGGGAAGATGTCTTAGATGTCTTCCGATATTTTAAAGCTCATATTTCAGAACAGGAGCTAGACCTACTCCGAGGGCCGGAAGTGACAGGAAGGAGATCTTGACTCAATGGAGGGAAGACCTCGCCCATCAGAATCTTTCCGATTATGAGGCCAGTTATCTTGTACAATACGGGGTGTCTCATCAAGGTCAGATAACCATGTCATTGCAGATGCAGAGTTGGTTTTTGAATTAAGAAAGCATCTGGACTAGATGAAGTCCAAGGTCCCCTTTATCTCTCCTATGCTGTACGCACACCGATAAGGGCTGGGGTTCTTCCTGCAATCTTTCTTTAGCAGTCTGAAGTCAAGGAAATAAATCATTCGCAACCATCTGGTGGCCTGCCTGGTCCCTGACCCAGTAATATTTTATGACATATTCTGAAACCTGTGAAAAATGATAGAGGAGAAATATGGCAACAATTGAACATTTTAGAAATATTCCCATAAGAGGCATAGTTAAGTTTGGTGCATAGCTCCCCAGATATCCAAAATAAGCTGTGTATTTGTATCAGAGTAGAAGCTTAAAAGTCACAGATGAGGCTGGCATGGTGGCCAGGCTAACCCCCTAGCTGCAAACACTAGCATTCATACGGGTGCAGGATCTGTCCCGGCTGCAGCACTCCCGAGCCCGCGCTCTGCTGTAGTCTGTGAAAGCAGTGGAGGATGTCCGAGTCCTTGGGGCTCTGCACTCACGTGGGGGACTGGGAAAAAGCTCCCAGCACCCAGCTTTAGATCAGCTCAACTCTGGACATTGTGGCATTTGGGGAGTGATCCAACAGATGGAAGACCTGTTTCTCTGTCTTTCCTTTTCTCTGTATAAAAGTCCTTCAAATAAAAGCAAATAAATCTTTTTTTTTTTTTAAAAAAAAACAAGTCACAGGTGTAAATTTCTCTGCCCCTCACTTTGGTTCCATGCATTCTTTCATCTTAATCGTAAATGCCTGTTGAGTTCCACTGCTCTTCTGAATTCTGGGGATACCGTGGTGAATGTAGCAGACCTCCCCCTTTCTTGTGTTCTGTATTCTAGTTAGGAATACAAATACTGAACAAACATCTGCATAGTTAACCAGCCATTGAAACAGATTTCAGTTGGTGAGAAGCATTTTGAAGAAGAGTCTTGACAGGAGCTGGGTCTTGTTGGTAAGGAAGCTGCTCTGAATGGCCAGGAGCATGCGTCTTAGGAGTTCCTAGCGGAGCTGAGACCAGCTATGACGTAAAGGCAGCTATACAAAGATCTGGGAACACTCAGTTTTGCTGTCAGGAATGGCAAGTGCCAAGGCTTACCCACAGGTGACCTAGACCAAGGATTACCATTTGCCTAAGCTAACCGTTTTTGAAGTTTTCCAGGAAAGCACAGTCACTGAAATGTTGTATGTTGGTTTGGCACGAGACTTGGCCACTTAAGAGCTGTCATCTAAAAGTATTCCTGTCTAGTCATTACTACAAAAAACTTGCCAACCTTGACCCTAGATGTTGGGTTTAATACCAGTAGGTTACGATCTCAGACCGCAGAGAAACAAAAGCACTGGGCTCATCAGAACTTACCGGCCATTCATCATAAATGATGTGCATTTCTCTGTCCGTCACCTTCTCATACTTTCCATACCTACTCTGAGTCCCTGACTTAAATTTTCTCATTCAAAATAGTTTGATTCCATTAGCAAACACCGTTCATTTCTTTCTGCTTACTGTTTGTGATCCTTTGTGGCATCTCTGAAATCATACTGATCAGGTTGTTTTTCTTACAGGGCTGTGGGAAGAAGATGTATTCCTTCTTGAGAGGAACCAAACAACTGCAGGTGCTCAGGTTTCTGGGAATCTCCATTGGAGTGACCCAAATCCTGGCCATGATTCTCACCATTACTCTGCTCTGGGCTCTGTATTACGACAGAAGAGAGCCTGGGACAGACCAAATGATGTCTCTGCAGAATGAGACTTCCCAGCACCTGTCATGCCACTCAGTGCAGCTGTTGAAACCGAGCCTGTCCAGAATCTTCGAGCATACGTCCATGGCAAACAGCTTTAACACACACTTTGAGATGGAAGAATTATAAAGACCGCCCGGGGAGGAAACCACAGATGTGCTTTGTTGGACATGAGAGTTTTTTATGTACACACTTGGTATGCTCCCGAAACGCGTAGAGGTAAAGATGTTGTCATAAAAGAATGCCTAGGCAGATAATGCTCTACCCTTTGCAAAGAGGAGGAAAATGTTCCATGCCAGGTCATCACTGAGTCAGTAGTCGATGCCCTTACAACGCTGGGGTCGGCCCTGACACTCTGATGGCCTTGGTGTAAGCGTGAATCAGGCTGTTACCGAACACACCTGCGTTCGGAGGCCACGTGATTTGATGAGCTTTTCTGCCTTTGAGAGCAGACGCATGCTGGGGTTGGAGCCGCAGTCAAGCTGGATTCACTTGCACCAGCTGCTGTGTAAAGTACCAATTCACTGCCAATGTAGTGCATGCGGCAGTAAGAATGACTTTACTGCTTGGCAGTGTATTCCTTTGAGGGTGAATAGGCTATAGATAAAAAAAAAAACTTTCAAAATTGCTGACTACCTGAACGTGACTGTGGCTGGTCACTAACACACTCTTACCACTCAGATGAGCAAGCTAACGTTGTGTAAACTGATCAGGGATCTGTGTGTATATAAGTCTGTGTTGTGTGCACAATTCAGTAGCTTTCAGTTCTTCATCGTGTTGAGAATAACGGTTGTGAAGAAGCATCCGTGTCCTGTATAACACCTTTGTTTTTAGGTTTTCTTGTTAACAGAGCTTCAAAGTTGTGTCTTGACTTTATATGACATGCATAATTATTAATTTAAATACATAACCACTAATTTTAAAAATTACCAGTGTGCTAAATAGAAATCATTATAATTCAGAATATAGTATGGTCTCTGGGACATATTAAAAATGTACAATAAGTGGGATGATTTAGCAAAGACTTGGATGTTATTTATCTGAGACTAAGGCTCTTTTCTTTTCTAATACTAAACACCTTTTGAAAAGAGCTTATCTAGTAGAAGACACCGCCTCCAAGTCTTTAGGATTCTACAGAGAATAATGGTGTTCTACAGCAAAACTACTTGTGAAAATCATAAAAACAAATGACAATTTACCTAGAGATGATCATTGCTTTATTTCACTGATTAATATACTGTACTGAGTTATACAGATAATTAAAATTTTTTACAAGAGTAAAATATATTTATTTGAATGGGAAAAGTGCATTTTACTGTATTTTTGGTGTTATGTTTATTTCTCAGACTACGGGAAAGAGAATTTAAGCAAGTATCAATAAATACTTTCTAGAGAGTAATAATTTGTCTGTGTCTGTTTTTCACATTCTATAAACATGTTTACCACTCAAGAGGATTAGCAAGGAAAGGACAGTGTAGGGGGGATAGAAAGAGGTAACACTGATTTCCAAACTCTGGTTTTACGCAGTAAGAGTATGTGTTCGGATTGAGAGGAGACACACGATGCCTTTTAATTTGTTTTTAACCTAAAGGATAATCTAGTTTAATATAATCTAAAATATACTTATTACATTCATTTACTTTCTCAAAGCTTTCTTGGCCAAGTTTTAATAGCTATTATTAATTTTTAAAAGAAAATAATTCTGAGTACAGTTCACTGCTGAAATTAGCTGCTAGACTTAGAATCGTCTTTGTATTTAAATGAAAACTGAATCAATTAGTTGCTGAATCTGAATTCCCTGAACCCTTCAGGGTCCCACAATTTCACCTAAAATACCCAAGTAACTGAGACAGCTATAAATCTAACTGGAGCAGTTGTTTAGGTAATGGTCTGATTTGACTGGTTTGTCATAGAAAGTGCAAGTATCTATTCTATTGAGCACAGTAAAAGAAAAAAAAGTCCTCAAATTATAAAATAAAGGTTGATTTTTACAGTTTTAGGCTTTAGCTACTTTGATATATTACCTGATTTACTGCCCTCTAGAAAAGTCAACATAAATTTAGACAATCATCTTCTATGGGATAGGCTTGCCTAATGGGAGCAAGCGACATTTATAGCAGCGTCCACAAAGGCCTCCCGCGCACCTGCAGTCGTAAAGCTGCGAGGGACTTGAGGAAGTGTGTTTAATGCGGTCAAGCTGAGGGCGTTCACTGTTTGGGTACATTGCAAACAAAATTATTAACTGCTTCCTTGGGACTTTTGAAAAGCTTTCTTTAGCTAAAAAGAAAATTACCATTTTAAAGATTATTCTTGGACTGGTTAGGCGTCAGTTCAGATGGCCCTGGGGACTCTGAGATGGCAATATGAGAGAATGTCTGTCCCCAAGCACTGTAAAATCTGGATTAGAAACACAAATACTGAACATATAGAGAAGGAGTACAGGAGCAGACAGCGGGTCAATTCAACAGAGATTTACTTTAAATTATTTAAATATTTATTTACTTTCATTGAAAAGGCAGATTTACAGAATGGAGACACAGAAAGTTCTTCCATCTGCTGGTTCACTCCCCAAATGGCTGCAACAGCCGCAGCTGAGCTGATCCAAAGCCAGGAGCCAGGAGCTCCTTCTGGATCTTTCGTGCAGGAACAGAATCCCAAGGCATTAGGCCATCTTCTACTACAAGGAGCTGGGTGGTAAGTGGAGCAGCTGGGACGTGAACCGGTGCCCATCTGGGATGCCAGAGCTTGGAAATCAAAGATTAGTCAGTTTAGCCATTGCATTGCCCCTCAACAGAGATTTTAAAGCAGGTAATCATGACCTGTGTCTCTCATGGCCTTCTCAAACGCCGAGTGGAGCTCTGGTCGTGTTCAAACCCTGCTCTCCCATAGGCTAGATCTGCCTCTGAGTGTTTGAACCCCGTGTCACTTCATTAGATGTCCTGACCTGTACGTTGCTGGCATCCCTTTTCATTTTTTCAACTGATTTCCCTGTTCAGTTGTTCAGCCTTTCTTGACTACTTTCCTTCTGTTTTAGTCGAAGAACTCAACACATTGCACGCTGAGCTTGTCCTTCAGCTTGAGCTGGTGCAAATCTGCAGTCAGGTGCAGCCCCTGCTGCTAATGACTTGGATTCTGGTTCAATGTGGGGCATCTCTGCTGTGCTCCCAGTAGAGAATCCTTGTTATTCTCAAAGGGCGAGTTAGCTAAATAAGCCCATGGGTAACCTTTACATGACCTTCCAGCAAAGACGGAAATCAGGTTTTGCTTGGAACGGGTAAGCATTCTCTCTATATTCTTCTCTGGCTCTCACAAGCTTGTAGATGGAAAAGTAAAAGAAAAAGAAAATATAGTTTCCTGGAATTCAAAATTAAGCCTTGGTCTATTACCTTTTGTATATTATGGACTAAGGATATGAAGATTTAACTGCCTTTGTGTTAAATTCTCTACACATGAATAGCTTAAAAATCTTATCTCCCTCTGGAAAGCTGTGCTCTGGCAAAACTTGAAAAATAAAAGGCTCCCAGTAAAGGTTATGCTATTATTGTGCATGAGATTCAGTAAGAATCTGATAATTAAATGGCTTAGGATATTCCTCGTGGTTTCACAATCTCTCCTAGCTTTCCTCGGAATTCACTTATTTTCTGTTGCCAAGCTGTGGTCCATTTAATTCTGTTCAGTACGACATTGAACAACCATTATGTAAGACAGGTTGGCATGGCTACTGGGAGGACCAAATGAAAATGTATAATGCAATTTCTGCCTCAGGAGACACAGAGTTGAGTTAGGAAGCCCAGGCAAGTGCATGTGGAGTAACCACCTGGTACCTGCGGTAGTGCCTACACAGCGGAGATGTTTATTAATGTGTGAGCTGAACGAAACGAAGGACACAATGTACAAGATCAAATCTGTGAGTATTTGATGCAAACGCCGATTTCAAGGAAGCGAAATCCAGGCAGGCTGAAGTTTTTAACAGGAGAGATACTGCTTGAGATCAATTTGGATGAGGAAAACCTGAGAAAGATATTCCAGGTTAGAGTAATTACAAATAATTAAGAGATGGGCAGCACCGCACCAACACTTGGACTTCATCTTGGTGAATGCTCATTTTTTTTTTTTTAAATGTCTTCCCCTCTTTTGGACTAAACTTGTTATGGCCCTACAGGTGTTTGTGCTTGCAATTCCTCGATTAAATTCCTTTCTACTAAACATTCCTATAGTGTAGTTCCCTTTCTTCAGGAATCCTAAGAAGAAAACATGTAGACAAAGCAGGTAGGGAGCCAGCTGCTTACCTGTGTGCTGCAGAAGAAGTGCAATTAATAAAAGACACGGGAAAGGAATCATTGGAACATTAAAGGAAAAATGAATACATTCTGTAACAGGAGTCAAATGAAGGAAAAAACGTGAGGTGAGAAATTATTTTTTTTTTTCAGTTAATGGAACAAAATAAGGCAAAGGAGATGGCTCACTAAGGGGAAGGGCATCCTAGTTTTCAAGGTAAGAACAGTGAGTTGGGGACATAAACCAGAGACCCAGAGACCCTGATGCTTACCAGGGTCTGCATTAGCAGGAGCTGGAACCAGGAGCCAGAGCCCACGATTGAACACAGATGCTCTGACGTGAAACACAGGTGGCTTACCTTGTGTCTTAATTGCTGGATAAATTCCTCCATAGGATCACTTCTGGATATTTTTGGCATAGACCATATGGGGGAATTTAATGTGGAATTGACGTAAATTTCTACTCAGACATCTTTTAAGTTTGTGGTTTAGTATTTCTGAAGGGAGGAGTTGTTCCAGCACTGTTTATTGGGTAGTTCCTACCCATCCGCCCTTAATCCAGAGAGAAATGACCTCCAGTGCGGAGGGACCATGCTGAATACATAATTTGCTTTTAGAGCATGCACAGGCGTACACACACAGCCAGCTGTGAGATGGATTGTACACTCCCTGGTATCCATTGTAGCAATGATACCCAGTTGCATGGGTGTGGACACCTATGCCACTGCCTGAGAGGGGGTGGACATATATGTGGCTCCCTGTGAATCCAGACATGACAGTACGTGGCTATGTGGAATGTTCATGTTTCTGAGTGGCACCACAGGCACCAAGACAGGTGTCTCCTGTGGCCCCAATGCCGCTGGAGGAAAAGGACTGCTTCCCTTGTGTCTCTTGCTGCCACTATAAATAAAAGGGGTAAAAAAACCCCACCAATGGCTCCCAGTTTTTCTCTGACAGGGTGGAATCTGAATCTGCTTCTTCTGGGCCTCAGTTCCCGGGCATACATGACTACAGGTGCCTTTGGGGAATAAGACAACTATGTAACCTTCTCGTGGCAGTGTGGCAAGAGTTTGTCCTTGGAACTGGCTCAAATCTGGGAAGCAAGTGAAGTTGTGATTCCCCATTATGCTGATACAAGTTAAAATTGTTTCTCCCCCATCAAAAACGAAAAGATATTACTTTTGGTTATTTTCAGTCTATATAGTGATACCTGTTTTAGGAACACCACAAGCTGTCACGAATCCCATCTGTGAGTAAAGCTGTACTGATTAGGGCTCTCGTCGGGCTGTCGATTTGGGTAATCGCTTTCAGCTGTCTCGTAAACTGGCCAATAAAAGGGCCCAGCTCACTCAGGTGGTAGGACTTGAGCCCCTTAAAATTTGGACTCCGTGAACCCAATGCAAAGGGATGACTCCTCAGTGCTTCACTTGCCAGCAGATACCGAACTTTTCTAAGATGATGATTCTTACAAGAACATTCTCGACGCCTTGGTAAAAGGAGTGTTCCCTACTGAGAATTACTGAGCGGAGTTGGTCAGTGTGGAACAGCATTGTCTCAGTTCTGGAGTTCTGAAAATTCCCGTGGAAAGGATTGCGAAGAGAGTCTTTTGTTCCAGAATTGGGTTCTTAGCACATACCTCTAAAACTCTTGGAATCTCAAGAGTGCTGTTTCTGTTCACACCAGTAAGATTATTGATAACTGGGAACTCGATAGCTTTGGGATGAGAGGTTGAAAGGGAAGCAACCCAAGAGCTGGAGATTTCAGTCTCGGCTCGTCCTGAGCTTCTGGAAGGACAACAGGGGGCAGGTGGAACAGATCACTACCACCAGTGCGTTAATCAAGCACGCCTACATAACCGAGGCTTCTCGCGAACCCTACAGGACAGTCTGTGAAAGCTTCTGGCTTGTCACGGATGTGGAGGCGTCTCTCGAGGCGCATGCAGAAGGGCGCGGGAGCTCTGCCACCTTCCGGGACCTTGCTTACACACCTTGCACCTGGCTGCTCGTCTGTCCCTGTCGTCACACCCTTTACAATAACTCGGTAAGTACAAATATACTATTTCCTTGGGTGCTGTAGATCACCCTAGAAGGTTAATCTGAGGAGGGGTTGTTGAATTGT